TATAAAAATGATGGTGTGTCGGGACGTGACCCAGGACGACAACGAAATATGTGCACTATTTACGTCTTCACAGATTCATATCCATGCGATTTGGAGTAGATTACTTTATAAGCTACGTCAAGCAAAAACCCGGCAAAAATCACGCGCTGTTTTTTGTAATGAACAATGGGATGCAACAACCATGAAAACTTATTAATCTATATTCTGCAAAGAATGAAAGGACAGAATATCTTGCGATATACACTGTGTAACGAGCAGACAGTTGTAAACAGTTTGTAAAAAAAGTTTCTTTTTGACTTAAAAACACTTATAAAATTATACAAATTGGTTATAACTTTTTTTTTACATCGTACAAAAATGCGTGGAAAATTCAAGGTAATTTCAAATAGAACGTGTTCTTCATGAGTAACAAGTACTGCAGTCTTGTACTACACGGCGCATTATTTAATCCACGGTTAAGTTTGTTCCCCAATCATACTAGAACCGACACTACATAATGTCGTGCATGTTCGTTCAATAACTTCGTAACTGTTGACACCGGCATGTAGTTATTATCAAGATGATATTTATAAAACATTCTTGTTCAACAACGAGTCTTTATGGTAATGTTTCGCGATACACATATTCATTGGACGGACGCTAATTTAAATTAAGTAATATTTGTAAGTTAAAAATACAAATACTTCGGTCGTGTGCTTCAATTGGAAGACTGCAGATTTCTAAATGTACACTTTTTAAAGCGGGAGGGTCGTCACCTGCGCGGTAATTGAGTCCCAAGCGATGTAAACAACACACGCTAAAAACGCAAAGGCTCAGGGATAGACGCTTGTTTGTAAACAATGACACGCTATGGCCATATGACGCATGCGCAGGTGATGACATCCCTACTTTAAGTGCTGATATAACGTGAATTCAAGTGGCGGATCCAGAGGGAGGGCCAGGGGGGGCCATGCCCCCCAAACGCATGACGATTCATATCAACTGGATTACGCATAGCCCCTCTGCGATTTTCGCTCCGTAATGTTAAGCGAAGCTTCTCCCCCCCCCCCCCAATACATTTAGCTGGATCCGCCACTGGTGAATTCGAATTGCAATTTAAGTTCTAAGCTTGCAAAGACTGAAAATGTAAATGTATAGTTGCTTATATTTCAGTGTAATTACATCACGTACATGGGTTGGGGTGCCTTCTATGCAAACTGTCAATGTCCAGAGAAGATTGGTTAGAATGCCTGCAAGCCAAACTATCGGTAACAACTCAATAAGTGTGAATAATATACGCCTTTTGAATGTGTGCCTTATTATTATAAAAAGTCACACGTTTATAAATTGTTAATTAACTATCCGTGGTACCTGGTAAAGTTTAGTGTTCATTATTAGACACATGTAAATAAATACCACGGCGTCGTTTGATATCCAGGGTGCTACGTGCTCGTTCATATACTAATATCTTGCCTAGGACACGTAACTTTTTTAGAGTATGCCGATGTTCTTAATAAATTAAAGGTACGGTACAGGTGGTATTTGTGATAAATGATAAAAACAATTGTGAATTGTAGATTTCAAAGGGCAAAGATCGTCTCTTGTTGGATTACTGAACACGAATATCATAAATAAATAATAAGCATTTTAAACTTAATCAATAATTCAACCAACTTATCTTGATCGACCTGCTTGCACAAAAAGACACGTTTTGTTACGTAAACAAAAGCCTAATACCGTCAGCTTTAATGACTTGTATAGTCGTAACACACCAGTCTAAGAAGTTGCGCCCTCTTGTGACGAAACACGTTTCGTGACGTAAGTGGTTGACTGGATTCACACTTCAATATTGTTATGACTGTAGTCGTACGTCAATGACGCAATAATGTACTTTGAAATATTGATACAATCTAAGCGCTGAACAGTTACATAGAAACATGCAGTTGCCGCTTTCAATGGGTGTTTTTTTGACGTCACAAACAGGCTTCGTCCATAGAGGGCGTGACCTATACATGGCTGGAGTAACTCATTTGTGCGCCATAGAAAATACACGTGAAAAGTATATATATATATAATAATATCATGGTTGCCATGGCTGTAAGAAGATGATATATTGACAGTCACAAAATACTGAAGTAGTCTGAGCTGTGACAATAGGGTGTTAAAACTGCCGCTGAATTTTAATTAAAGCTATCGTTTTTGCATAACATTATTGGTCTCTGTCTTCTAAGCGTTATATGCAACACGAAGTTCGTATTCTGTGAGAAGTTTATGACTGTCATTTGAACTTGACTAAAGTTCTTTTTCTTTCTTTTCCCAGAAAAGATGTTTTCAATAATTGTGATTGCAATGCTACCTTTGATCGGCACTGGGTGTTTTAGGCGGGGAATCACGTGGTAACACACTGTCACGCCGAATTGATTTAGATATACGGCCTGTTGTTCGAAACTGTTGCTGTATTACACTTGGCCTTCTGAGTCCCACCAATGGTTTAGGAGGTTCGGGTTTCGCAATAATTTGTAAATGGTCATCATCATCAAGATTAAGCGGCTGGATTGTTTGGACGGAATTCCATGCACGGTCAAATTTCTTCTTTTCTTCTCGGCGTCTCGCGCTGGTCGGTGTGGTGGGAATCGAAACTCCGCTACTACCAGTGAGTGGTCGTTCCCCTTGTCTGCTTGTTTGCGGTGGTTCGGGGGAAACCTTTGCCGTTTTTTGTGCTGTTGTCGGTCTATTATTCTGTGCTGTAGTTGGTCGCACTGGTTGCGTACCAGGTTTCTGCGCTGTTGTTGGTCTAGCCGCCTGAACACCAGTTCTCTGCGCTGTAGTCGGTCTAGTCGGCTGAGTACCAGTTCTTTGCGCTGTAGTCGGTCTGGTCGGCTGAGTACCAGCTCTCTGCGCTGTAACTGGTCTCACTGGTTGGGTACCAGTTTTATGTGCTGTTGTTGGTCTAGTTGACTCTGTACCAGTTCTCTGAGCTGTAGTTGGTCTGGTCGGCTGGGTACCAGTTCTCTGCGCTGTAGTTGGTCTGGTCGGCTGGGTACCAGTTCTCTGCGCTGTTGTTGGTCTCACTGGTGAGGTACCAGTTCTCTGCGCTGTAGTAGGCCGGTTGGGCTGGTTACCAGTTCTCGGTGCTGTAGTTGTCTTTGTGGTAACCGAGCCGGCCTTCTGGGCAGTAACAGAACGGTTATTGCTCTTAGATGTCCCATTTGGGGCTTTTTGTGCAGTAACTGCCGCCCCTGCAACTACTACACGAGTGCCACTTGTTGATTGCACTCCATTTAATTGCGCCTCGTCTCCCACTTTAACAACTTTGGCTGGAGTTCTCGGAGATTCAGTGTCTGTGTGTATTTCCTCGACGTTCAACACGTGGCCATTACAACTACTGGAACTAGTTTTTCGTACTCGTGCATCCTCCGTGTACAAGTGATTGACACTTGAACCATCGGGCATATCGCGTAAAAACTCATTGACCTTCACTTCCCAGTCAGTTTCTGTTGCCGTGCTACCTTCTCGGTCAATGTCAATTTTTGCTTCTTTTTCTTTCTCAGTTTTTGCGTTTTCTTTCGTTTTTTTATAATCCTGTTTCTCGTATTTATTGTTAGCCTTCTTATCCTTATACACCGGGAGATCTACTGTCGAGTCTGTGTCGGCAAGGCTCTCCTTTCCACAACTCCAACATTTCTCACAGCATGTTTCCATGTACGACCGTACAAACCAACTAGACCCATAGCTACATATAACTATTCCTGCAACCAAAAATAAGAATATAGCCACGCCAGGCACGCTCAACCAGGCACTCGAAGACAGGCTTGTTGCGTACAGTTCATCTTCGAAGATAACTTCTGCCTCTTCGTCGTAATAGCAAACGTCGGACTCTGCAATAGATAAAAACACAGGTCTGTTAAAAACGAAAGTCTTCGTAGCTCCTTCGTGGAGTATGACGATCTCCTCTATGATTTATCTAATACGAGTCGCACAGGGTTCGAATTTCATGTAAATAAACAATGTATTTTACACGCGTTGTGTACGTCGCTATGAGTCCCATAACGAACAGGACGCGACACGACGACCACCGGCCTTTAATGTTCAACATCGAAATAGTGCAATATCTGAATGAACAATTACATATGAGGGAACCATTGTTTATTTAACATTTTCTGGGATCATTATCTCGTAGACACTGTTGTTTGTTTATTACTTGTTCGCAGTTGATTTTAATTTTGTTGGTTCATGGAAGGTACTAACCGTTAGTACCTTCCATGTTTAGTTAAACTCCGAGTAACCGCCAATCTGATTAAAAAAAGATGGGAGTTATAGGCTACGTCGTCGTTTTTCAATTGTAATATTTTCCATGTTTTTGTTTTATTTGCATGTATTTTGGTTAAGGTGGTCGAGTTCTAACACTAAAAATGAAATAAACCACGAACCAGCCAGTCTGTGAATAAAATGGTCAGATTTTGTCTCAATCTACCCGCTGAACACACATGGACCAGAGAAAAAGAAATGAAATAAATATATTACGTGAATAACAGGGTAACGCAAATGACTTCGGCTAGTTATGTTTTTGATATTTTAATGACAATAGCCAACCTTGTCTGCAAAAACATTTTAACAAAATAAATCAGTTAAATATAGGGGAGCTATTGAAATGGCTGTACCCAAGACATTAGGTGGAAATATCTAATACCTTTTTTGAATAACGTGCTCTGTTTGGAATAAACTACCACAAATAATTAAAGGCATTAATGGTAAATTGTATGATTTTAAACAGATTTCCGAATTTATATTTGATGTTTTTGATTTATATGGTATATGCTGGTATTTAAAATTAGCGCAGTGTTACGATACTACTTGAAATACAACAACAATATGTTGCTTTTACGACTGTGTAGGCTACCCTAGGTATAGACTTCGATGTGTGGTTATTGACGGAGGGGCGTGGGTATTTATTTGTTTGTTTATATCCGTTTTTTCTTTTTTTTCTTGTCGATGTTTATTCACATGTGCAGACAAACTATAATAAGAGGAAACACCTCGACGCCTATGCTTCTAACCTACTTAATTATATATACCTTACATGTTCGGTTATCATTGATATATTTTTGAGTTAGAAGATTTTCATGATTCCCGTGATTATATGACCTTGATTATCTTCTGTAGGTTTTACAATGTTAGTGATTGGATTTTTTGTAGTTTTTGAAGAATAAATAATAGAGAATAAATTTCATTATAATGTCAATAGCGCAATATGGTGTTAAAATATAACTGATGTTGTAATTTCTTGGTTGAAACGTATTGTTTGAACGAAACAAACAATTTTGACGCAACATTCTGGCAACTTTATTTTATTACAAATAACATGTGTACAGATGTGATGCGTTATGATAAAATGTGTTTAGTATTCGATATCATAGTTAGTTTATAGTCACTGTCCGAGTTTCAATCTTAGTCTCAAAAATTGTTCTTCCCATTTAAAATTTCAACTGTTTATTTGCAGTTTGAGACCTGAACATTGATTTAGC